TGATTCTTGTTTCTTCATTTTTTTTTTCTTTTATTATAGTTTTTCTCTCTTTGAATTCCAAAATAAAAATATATTTTTAAAAACTATTTTTTGTTCAAGTTTTTAAAAACGTAAGATGGAGACATAGACCTTAGTTTAGGACACTGATCCAAAGACTATTAATAGTTGGATGGTGTTGAAGTATAAAATAAATATTGGAGAAACGAATTGGTTGGATAAGACCAGAGAGAAGTTGTGAAGGAAATTCAATGTTAATGGACACAAGAATGAAGGCTGCCCCACAAATCTTTAGCTGTCCGAGATAACCAACATGTGCGTAATATTAAATATCTTATTAAAACCCTAATTAATTTGTCTTCAATAAGTGAATTAGTTGAGTTGAAGAGTTAAAGATTTTAGTTCAGAGACCTCCATTAAAGATGTATTATTTTGAGGCCACATGGCCATAAATAGGCGAAAGTTCAATTATTTTTGTGTATCACTTAGGACCACACATTTGGAGGTACATCCAGACTCTACTTTGTTCCTACTAAGTTCCTTCGAACCTCAAGAAATCCAACCCTTCAACCGATAATGCATTTGCATTAATTCTCCTCCTTAACCACCCCCACCAACCCCCTTCAATAGGTAACACATTTGCATTAATAATTTCATCTTCATGTACGACTCGTAGTTTGTACTCTGTTGAGGATTGTTGGGAGGGAGTCCTATATTGGCTAATTTAGGAAATGATCATGAGTTTATAAGTAAGGAATGAGACTTTTTAGGGAACTCCAAAGCAAAGCCATGAAAATTTATGCTCAAAGTAGACAATATCATACAAATTGTTGGAAGAGGAGTCCTATATCCCCTAATAAAGGGATTGATCAAGGGTTTATAAGTAAGTAACATATCTCCGTTGGTATAAGGCTTTTTGGGGAAAAAAAATAAATAAAGCTACTAGAGTTTATGCTCAAAGTGGATAATCTCATACTATTGTGGAGGTTCGTAGTTCTTAACATATTCCAATGTTTTATTTAGAACCAAATTTAGGTTTTAGTATCAAAGCGGACTAATCTTTAACATATTCCAATGCATCTCACTAGTGAATTTTATTGGAAGCATTCAATGAGGGGAGGAAAAACTCCAAAACCTTCATGTTTAAATGAATATATTTATCGCAACAACTATAGAATATGTATTATTAATATTGTTTTCGAGTTCACCAAGTTGATCGAGACATTCATGATCGATGACATACCTCTTAACTAGTTGAACTATATTATGATTATTATAAAATACTAACTCATCTATTCAATTAAAACATAACTGGAATATCTAGTACTGTTATGATCGGGTGGAATAACCCACCAACATTTCTGAATGGGATTGATAATATCTATAGGATTATATGAATCATTTAGAATGGAAGCTGATTTGATTTATAGTGGGGGCAAGAAATATTTGTTGTTAGTCAAATTTTGTTTTGTGTGTATATGAGATGAACAGTACTTGGATTGAAAGCTGCTGTATAATTTGGCTAGAATTTGGCTAGATTGTGTGTGAGGTGGAGCCCAATGTAAGGTGAAAAAATTGCGCATGGAAGGAAGGACAGTGTGGTTCATTGTAATGAAGGTGTGGGCCATATTGTCATCAGAAACAAAAACTGGACCCATCCGCGAGCCATCATTCTTCTTTGAATCTCTGCTTATGATGTCTCTCCTCCCTCCTCGTACGAACTTCGACCTTACAATCTACTATTTTCAAAATTCAGCGTCTTTACTGACACTCATTCTCTTCTCCAATCGATGTGGAACTCCTAATCCACTCCCCTTCAAGGTCCAACATTCTTACTGGCACACCGTCTCGTATCCACCCCCTTCGGACTCAGCTTCTTTGCTAACATATCACCTGGTGTCTTAGCTCTTATACCATTTATAATAGTCTAAGTCTACCGCTAGTATATATTGTCTTCAAGAGTTTTAAAACGCGTCTACTAGAAAGTGATTTTCACACCCTTATAAAAAATGTTTCGTTCTACCACCTAACCAAATGGGGTCTTTCTCTCAATTTAGCTGGAAGCAGGACCATGAAAGGCTCTGGTTCTGTTCATATTTTAAACAAGTAATTCCCTTTCAGTAGAGAGAAAGGACAAAGGGAGAAGCGGCAGTGATAGCATTCAAATAAAGGTTAAATTAGCATTTAGCAAGTAAAAATTTGGTAAAGCATGAAGTCAGAGGAAGAGGTCAACAACACACCAATAAAGCCAGACAGACAAGGCCACTGGTTTGAGATGAACAATCCAATCCTCAACATCCGTCGGTGATTCAAAGAAATTTCAAACCTCCAAAGTAAATTTCATTAAAGCATCACCTTTTTTCTTTTAGATTTTCCCATCACGTCCCTAACCTGTCTTGCCTTAATGCTTTCATTTGACCAATACACTTTCTATGTAATTCAATTTTGTTGAAAGGGTAACTTTAGTCTTAGAAATCAAATAAAGGTTCAATTTTGTTTCCAGCACCCTGCAGGAGAATTAGTTGCCATTTTCTGTCACCTGAGCTCTTTGGCTCTTCTTATGAGCATCAAGAAACAACATTGCCATTATTTGTTTATGCATATACAACATTCTAGATATTCAAGATTAAACAGTTACACCAAACTAAATGATCATCAGAGGAGAAGGATTGTGTTGTTAGACATGAAAGTGTTTGAGGATTGTTGGGAGAGAAGTCCCACATCGGCTAATTAAAAGTTGATCATGGGTTTATAAGTAAGGAATACATCTCTATTGGTGTGAGGCCTTTTAGGAGAACCAAAAACAAAGTCATGAGAGCTTATGTTCAAAGTGGACAATATCATACCATCGTGAAGGTTCGTGATTCCTAACATGGTATTAGAGTCATGCCCTACAAAGAAGTTGTGAGACTCGAAGGTATAGTAAAAAGTGACTCAAGTGTCGAACAAATGGTGTACTTTGTTCGAGGGTTCTAGAGAAGAAGTCGAGTCTTGATTGAGGGGAGGCTATTCGAGGGCTCCATAGGCCTCAAGGGAGGCTCTATGACGTACTTTATTCGAGAGGAGGATTGTTGAGGAGTCTCACCTCGACTAATTAAGGGAATGATCGTGGGTTTACAAGCCAGGAATAGATCTCCATTGGTATGAGGCATTTTGGAGAAACCAAAAGTAAAGCCATTAGAGCTTATGCTCAAAGTAGACAATATCATACTATTGTGGAGGTTCGTGATTTCTAACAGAACGCTGAGCGGTCATGTTATACTCGCCCATTATTGAGTTAATAACATTTCCATCACAAAACCCACCTCTTGAAACCACCTGATCAGCAGCATCCATTCTGGAATATTCCAACTAGTGTACAGTACACTCTATATCCATGATTCTAACTGAGAGAAAGCAGCTTACCTCCCTGTACAGGTTGTGAAGGAAACAAGTATTTTGGCACAGCTTTGGGTTCAAGAAGATTAAGTAGAAATCAATCTAAATTTTCAGGTCGAATACCTGCGGGTTAGCAATTAGATGAACTATCCCATGTTTCTTATCAGTTCCAAAATCTTTATCAACTCAATTTGCTGATAGAGATATATATGGTGTAAATTGAAACTATATATATTCATTGAGTGTACTTTTCTATTCTCTATATTCTATTTGTATATACATGAAGTCATCAACATAAACCTTTTAGCCAATATTCCTTTTTGTATTTCTCTCTTGTTCTTTGTGTTCATCTAGATCGAGTGTGATGTTGTGCGATGCTAACATAATTTCCTTTGTCAATAGATTTATTTGTTCATGAAATTGTGGAAAAGGGTATCTCTGATGATCATTTGAATAATCCTCTTACTTTTATCTTCAGGAACACTCCAACTCCAACAGGGGATTGCAATACAAGTATATCTAGCAAGTTTTTTTATTTGGTGTTTGTTATTTCAGTAAATTGGTTGAATAAAATAGTGCATAAGCATCTTGGTTTGCTCTCTTTCAAGGTGCAGAAACAGGAGGAGGCAGTGGTTCCTCTTGGGACTTAGCTGAATGCATCTTCTTTTGCCCTGTTTCAAAGAGCCAGTATCAAAAACTTCTTTTTTCTTCAAATTCCATCTCAATTTATACCATTCATTGCTAATGAGACCATGCATGGACTGTGATTCACATGCGCCAAGATTCTACAAATTAGTGCATATGTATGGAACACTTGGCAAGAGATGGTTGGTCTGTCACATTTAGATCTCGCAGAAAAGTTGCAGGCTAAGGTACACTTCTATGCCATTGGTTACTCGACCAGACAATATATTTACATACGCACATAAGTACACAGGCTTCTTCTGATGATATTATCAACATCAGCTGTAACTCAGCCAGCACTAATGGAAGGTACATTGTGAGATCTCACATCGGTTGAAGAGGAGAATCGTTCTTTATAAGGGTGTGGAAACCCTAGCATACGCGTTTTAAAACTTTCTTCAAAGCTCGAAAGAGAAAATCCAAAAAGGACAATATATGTTAGTGATGAGCTTGAGCTTGTAAATGATATTAGAGTCAGACACTGGTTAGTGAACCAAAGAGGACGCTGAGCCACGTAGGAGGGTGGACACTGTGCGGTGTGCCAGGAAAGACATTAGGCCCCGAGGGGGTGGGTTGTGAGATCTCAGATCGATTAGAGAGAGAAACGAGGGCTAACGAGGACGCTAAGCCCCAAAGAGAGGTGAATTGTGAGATCCCACATCAATTAGAAAGAGGAATGAGTGCCAACGAGAATGCTGGCCTCCTAAAGGGGTGGATTGTGAGATCTCACATCGATTGGAGAGGGGAACGAAACGTTCTTTATGAGGGTGTGAAAACTTCTCCTTAACAGACGTGCTTTAAAAACCTTGAATAGAAAGCTCAAAGAGGATAATATCTGCTAGCAGTGGGCTTGAATTGTTACAATGTACTCCTCCCTTTTAAAGATAGATGTATCCCATATCTATTGCACTAGAAAACGATGACCCACAAACACATAAACCAGATGAAATTGTCTAAGGTAATCCAGACCATGTTATTGAACCATGCAATAAGTTTTAAGCATATGTTAAGATCAACTTCTCCAGTTCATGCATTCATAAACATTTGACTTCATTTAGCTCAGCTATTGTAGCAACCCTTCATAGCTTATCTCTTTCATATGTTTTTTCAGCCTTACATAATCATCAGTTCATCACAGTCAAAAATTAAATTATCTAAAAGAGCTTCAAATCTTACACCCTTTTCCTTTTCTGATACAACATCAATCTGCCAATGAATACAAAGACAACAAAGATCCAACTTCTCTTGTTTTCTTTTATTGCTAAATGCTAATGACCATTTTACTTTACATTTTCTGAAACATGAAGCAGGTGGAAAAGACAATAAGACTATGAAACAGGAAGGCGGTTATGTTGGTGCTGGAGATCCTCTAAGAGAAGGTGAGTTTCAATTGGTTCATTTTTATGACATTGTCTGAAAGATTCAAGTATTTTCCTGGTGGAATCTTCTAATTCTCTGTTTTCATCATTTTCAATCTGCTGGTTTCTGCACTTTATGCTGCAATAACCTTGATCGCCCCTATGAACAACACCAAATACCATAAAAAAACTGAACCAGTATAAAGAAATGACATATTTCCTTGGAAAAATCTAAAGAAATAAGCAAAAACTAAGGTATATAGATCAAAAGTAGAGTACCTATACATGTAAATATCTTCGTGGGGGTCCAGATTCTTGTGGCAAAGAAGACATGTTTTGAGAAAACATGAATTGTTGGAAATGATTTGAGTGGAAGAAGCAAGTTTTGTGGAGTGTTTAAGCAGGAGATTTGGTTGTGGTGAGCGATGAACAAGGATTCCTAACCCAACAGCCTTCGAATTTCTGGGATTATTGTCAGTTTCTCTTAGCTTACCATTTCTCTCCTTCATTCTAAAGGGTCTCCCCAATTTGGGAAGCATTTGTAAAGGGTAGAATCACAGGAAGATGGTGTGAGGATGTGAAGGATTTGGATATGGCGGATATATAGAAGAACATGAATACCCACAGAAAAGAAAAAGGAGAGTAAAGGGGACAGAGTGAAGCAGAAAACAATAAGAAATATAAAACGACGTGGTTTCACTACCCGACATCTGGTTTCCACCATGATGTTTTTTTTTTTTTTTGGTACACAACAGAACAGAACAGAACAGAACAAAAGCTGTGGGCTTTGTTGTACAATGAAAACGTGGAAAATGAGGAGGGGATGGTTAAAAAATAGTTTATTCTCTTTTATGCTATGGAGAAATAGAGCTAACACCTGGCCTGTACATGCTTTCCACTATGGACGGTGATTGCCTACCAAAAATTACTGTTCTTCATGTGTTT